TTCTTTGGGAAGCTCTTGCATTATAAAACTATTCATTTTTTTTTTTATATCCATTTGTATATTACTAAGGTCTTAGTTGGGTCCTAAAATTTTTTTTTTTGTCACCTCTTTAAAGATTTAGTTCTATATATTAGATGCTAATCCATTAGAAAATTCATACTTAATCTTGTATGTAATAGTAATACTTTTCAACAATCATTGCGCGACATTCTTTGTTCAATCGAATGCTTTTTGAGCTTGAACATGATGACCTTGAAGTAATTGCGTGTTGCACTGTAATTTGAAATAGTTGTCAGGGCATTTCTGCAAAATGCAACTATATAAACTTCCATCAACTGAAAAGATTCTCCAGGAAACTCTCAGCTTTTATTCAATCAGCGATCGAGAGTAAAATGGCCAGGGACATGAAGAGGAACAGAAACTCTTCAGCTTATTTCTTCCGTCTTTTTTCGCTTATTCTCCTCTTTGCATTTTCAGCATTGTCCGTCGAAGCAAGGAAAAGTCACGGCCAGAAAATGCATCGTGCTCAGCACAAGAAACACACAAACCATAAAGGAAATGTTAGTACTCCACCTAGAACTAGAAGGTCACGCATTCCCGCTCATGCTCCTGCTTCACCGCCAATAACCGAGTCCACCATTTTTGATGTCCTATCATTTGGTGCCAAGGGCGATGGAATTTGTGATGATTCCAAGGTAAATATATTACTCGTCGAGCCCTCAATCTGTTTTGTTCTACATATTTACGGAAAAAAGCTCAATTATAGAAAACTTTTTAATTTTAAAAAAAAAAGAGTTAACGAAAATATTACTCCTCCATGCTTTTTTCACCCCCAGCTTTACAAGAAAAACTGTCTATTTTTGAAAAAAGCGGAGGAGCTCAAACTACTACTGATCGGCATTAATTCCATCCTCTCCGCTGTCCCGGTAAAATAATGATGGGGAGTTTGATCGGAGATTAGTCGTGTTTTCCGTCTAACTCCTCATTGAATTTGTAAACTTTTTAGGCGGTTGCAGCCGCATGGGAGGCTGCATGCAAGGTCCCCGGAGCTACTATGGAGTTTCCGTCGGAATTCAAGTTTCTTATAAAGCCCACAACACTTCAAGGACCATGCCAGCCACACCTCACTCTTCAGGTACCCCAATCTTAGTTCACTAATGAATTGAATAGATTTCTGCATTTCATGAACTGCATGAAAGTCATTTAATTATTGGAATGTATAATTCTTTCTTTTGCTAGAAAGTCATTTCACAATGCAAAATATATACTCCACAATTAATTAGTAGGGATACTGGTCGACTAATATTCAATTACTGGAATCGAGAACAGATAGATGGCCTGGTATTGGCTCCTTCGAAAGTATGGTCAGGGCCAAAATCAAGTTTGTTTCAATGGATAAATTTCAAATGGCTTCAGAATTTCACTATTCAAGGTTCTGGGATTGTTGATGGTCAAGGTTCTAACTGGTGGACTCCTTCCTCTCCATTTGATTCGATGAAGGTTTGTACCAATTCCATAGAATTGCTAATTACGTAATTAATTTGCGATAGCATTATTCTCTCTCTCTCTTGACTTCATTTTGCTTCTCACAACTTTGATGATATTCATTTCCAGGACAAGCGCCCTAAAACCTTTCCAGACATGAAACCCACGGTACGTAAGACTTACTACAATAAAATATATAGGGAACATTCTTTTTCTTTTAGAAAAATTTCCTCACACTCGTGTTTTTAATGGAATGTTTTTTTTTTTTTTGGCTTTCTACCTGTTGATGAAGGCTTTGAGATTCTACTCAAGCTACAACGTTACGGTTCGTGACATCAAGATTATAAATAGTCCGAACTGCCATTTAAAGTTTGACAACTCCAGAGGAGTGGAGGTCAACAATATTACAATCTCTGCACCAGAAACCAGCTTAAACACTGACGGCATTCACCTGCAAAATTCCCAAGATGTAGAAATTCACCACTCCTACATCGGATGTGGTACTGTTCTATTACTAATGTGCTATGATTTAATAGTCGTTCTTGGATAATACAATAGGCCAAAGGAGTTTGATTTCCTTAGGCCAGATACTATTTATTAACATTAATTCACCCCATCGGGACTGTTCTTAAAGCCCAAGTATTTGTTTATGGCGATTGTATAAGGCAAATAAAACTATTTTTCTAATGGATAATTGGATTTGAATAGGGGACGATTGTGTTTCAATCCAAACTGGTTGCAGCAATGTTTTTGTGCATCATATCAATTGCGGTCCTGGACATGGTATAAGGTAATTTTTTTTTCTTTCTTTTTTTTTTGGGGTACTATACTGTAGTATTTTGGAGTTTAGTTTTAATTGAGTACTAAATAGTACTGTGCGCTGAAAATAACAGCTTAGGAGGGCTAGGTAAGGGTGGAACCGTGGCTTGTGTCTCCAACATTATTGTGGATAGCATTTTCATGAATAACACTCTATATGGTGCACGGATCAAGACGTGGCAGGTAAGATTGGTCAAATAATCACCGATACTTTCCATTCTAACCTTCGTTATGATGGATTTCGCGAGATTCCTATTTATTTCTAGATAGGAACCCGGTGCTAAAAGGGCCATCTTCACAAAGCTAACATATTTATTCGCAGTCCCATAGTGTAAATTACCAAACTGTCAGCAACAGTAGAATAGTGTCCAATGTCCATGAACTGAAAATTGTTCATATTTTGAAGTTTCGCTTTATATTGATATATGTATTTATTTTTACATTTATGTTCCAATATCAGGGTGGTCTTGGAGCAGTGAAAAATGTGTCATTTTCCAACATACAAGTATCTGATGTTAAGGTCCCGATAATGATCGATCAGTACTACTGCGACAAGCATATTTGCAAGAATAAAACAGGAGCAGTGGCAGTATCTGGGGTCAAATTTGATAAAATAACAGGAACTTATTCAGCTCAGCCCCTTCATTTGGCCTGCAGCAGTTCGGTTCCGTGCAGCAATGTTGATTTAAGTGCCATTAATTTACAGCCATCGCTTGAGTTTCGTGGATTGCGGGATGCCTTGTGCTGGAACTCTTACGGGAAGTCACAAGCACCCCTTGTTCCAACAAGCATTGATTATTGCCTGTTAAAGGGAGGTAGCGTCTTGCAAAAAATATCAAGATCCCACGGGAAATCTTGCTAGTCATTTGTATTTTGTATAATTCAGAGTCTTTGTCTTAGGCCGTTCGAGTGCTTTGCTCTGTCAATGCTTCCCCTCCGCAGTGTTTTGGATTGCAGGAAGGTGATGGTACAGATTGATGTTCATGAATAGCATTTTTACGTACCCGTTAATAGTTGGATGATCTTTATTTCATTTGCTCCTTGATATATCTGTGAATGCAATCAAATTAATGTAGTTGAGCTATGGAGGGTTTAGATTTAGTGTAACAGAAATAGACAAAATTACTCCACCCTGGCCTGTCCTGAAAATTTCAACTTCCTTTAACTATTCGTGATGCAAATATTTCAATGCTTCCATCCGAGATTAGGCCAAATAATCTTGTCTTGGGGTGGTTCCCTTGCGCAGGGTGTGATTTGCCTAGAAACTTGCGTGTTTGAAGTTAATTTAGCGTTTCTTTTGACTTGAAAAGGAATGGCAGAAGATTATGGAAGGCAGAAGATTTGCCTGGTAGTGTGTTGGCCGCGAAAGTTTCTGATGGCTTCTGGTGCAATGCATTGAATATAGGACAATTTTGTCATAGCAATATGTTTAAAGTTCATCCATAGTAGAGGGACCAAGAATCCTTTCCTTAATCAGTCAGGATGCCTTGCGGGAAAAGCTCGTAGAGCTTCAAACTTAGAAGCGCCCGCAAACAGACATAATAAGAGTAACATAGAATATATATATGAAAGTAAAAACACTTTTCCAAGTAGAATCGATGTCACCACCATCAAATGTGGCTGCGGCTTTCTTTGAGTTAGCTGGCAGAAAGCGTATATAAAAGTTTTTGGGAGGTGGTGGTGGTGGTGGTGGGCTGGTAATGTAATGGTGGTGGCGAACCTCAAAAGGTACTACTGTTTCCACCGTCCCATAATCTTGTACCCTTTATTGCATGCACGCGCACGATTGAAGGCCAGGTAACCTCAAAAGTTGCCGGGAGAGACTGATAGATAGTTTATACATATATATAAAGCTAAAGCTGCTTGCGTCCATTCCTCACAGGGTAAAAGCGGAGTAATTAAAATAGCAGTACCTTTTTTTCTTTTCTTTTTTTTTTACTTAATTAAAAGCTGATTACACTAATAATAATATCACGACAACGGAATATATAATAATAGCATAATTTTGCCAGTGCAAGTTACCAATTTAGTATCTCATATCTATTGAAATTTTATATGACAAGTTGGTTTAATCACAAAGGACGAATAGGGGGAGGGTTGGGTTGGGTTGTACGGGGGGAGGGAGTGTAAGCAAGAGGTCTCGGGTTCGAGTCCTCCCACTTACAAAAAAAAAAAAAAAAACAAAAACAAAAACAAAGGACGAATAGCTGATAACTTCCTAAAGTTGCCACAAATTACTAAACTATTATTAACTCAGTTAAGTAAATAATGTAATTTTTTATTAGGCTATAATCCTAAATTATACGATCTAAGCGAGTTGTTGGCAACTTTAGAAGATACCCACGTGTTACTCCACAAGCTACAAAGTGATGTCATTCTTTGGGCCCCCTGGTAACAAGTTGGTAGTTTCTACTGCTCTCTAGCCATTAAGAAAGACTTTGGGCCTTCGAAAAGTGGAGCTCGCCCTACTTTCAAGTTTCAACCATCCACCAGCCCCATTTTCCCATAGGGCCCATGTAGCCACATTTTCAACAGGAATGGCCTGATTTGCCAATTGTTAAGTATTTATCTAGGCAGATGTTTTGTCCGAAGATTATTGACAAATTCGCAAATCAGAAGTGACCAAGAAATGCTGAAAATCCACAAGCACATATAGCGAAAAAGTGAAAATATCTTAGAGAGGGGCTTGCATCTCATGAGGTTCAAGGTAGCATTTCTTTATTTCTGGACGGGTGGAGGATTGTGGAAGGCAGGAGGAGCAATCGAATGCTCCTCCGTCCACACTCGTTGAACCGGGACTGGAGCATTCTCCGCCCTCGCTTCGTTTTCTTGGAAGTTTAATAAAAGAAAAGAGGGTTATTTTATTTGTTTACACACCTGGGCTTGGAGTCCCCTGATCAACAGGGGCGGGGGCAGATTCAACCCTTCTACCTCTTTCACTTCTGCTATTATCAGCAAATTTCATGCTTGCTTGGTGGAAACCTTTGTTTCTCTCTGTTGAACTCCATTCAGACATGTAGTATTCTTCTTCTGTTGTTCCTTTAGACGACGGGCCATGCAACATTCCTCCCCACTGCGGGAAGTAGATCAACCAAATTGGGAGGCTGCAGCATAGAATCATGATTCCCATCAGAGTTATCCCTGTTTCCGTGGAGAATCTTGATCCCCTGAAGAGAATCACTTGTGTTAAAACAGCCCCCACATTTCCACCTCCTCCAGTCATCCCAGATATTATTCCTAGCGACCTGGTACAATAAGATGGCAACAAATTGCGTTGGAATACGATAGCTTGTTGCAGTAATTACAATTAATAATTTCTTTTCGGGGTTAAAACTCAATCTCATAATCAAAAAAGAGTATTTCCTTCTCCAAAATGGGCAAGCCAAGATCAAATCCATGTTTCCAACGCGTCAAGAAGAACACTTGAAAACTAACTATGCTAGCATTACTTATCAGAGTTTGTCTTGTCAAACTTAATTATCTCAGGCAACTTGATGCTCCATTTCAAAGACTCAAATTATCCACTCGAGTAGCAGTAACCACCATGTGTAAACCAGTGTAAAAGGATTTTCTATGTGGTGAAGATAACATATCCATGCGCATATCATCTATGCCCATTGAGATTGTCTCCCAGAAGTTGGGGATGGAAACATTTTGTTCCCTCTCCGTTTTTTTTTTCTCCCAATTTGTTCTTAAAAGGATCTTAAAGTTCAAAAAGTAGAAAAATTGGCCTTGTGATCAGTGGCGGAGACAGAAAAAAATCTTAGTGGGGGCAAAAATAATATTAAAATTTTTTATCTACTTTTTTTTTTGTAGTTTTTTAAGCAAAAAAAAATAAAATTCACCAACAAGTACAAATGATACGTATATTCCATGAAAAATATTTAAAAAAACTAAAAATTATTAATGTAATAATAATTTTATTTCAAAAACAAACTAAACTATTTACAATTGCTCACGACGAGTTTTCATATTTTGATAACAGTTTATAACTTTCTCATTTTGAACTTCACGAAGTATACTTTTCTCAATATAAGTAACTAAACTAAATTTTGTGACCCATTCTTTCACATTTTTTCTAAAAAAACTCTAAAAGCACACTTAAAATTATGTCAAAATTATATAAGTATTATAGGAATTTAAGGGGGCAGTAGGGGCGTGCCCCCACCTTAAATCCGCCCCTGCTTGTGATAGATACTTTCCATCTAATCTATGACATTGTTTATCTTTTCCTCAAAAAAAAAAGAGAAAAATTAGAAACTACTATTCTTGTTTTGCTTGTATGCTTATCAGCAGCAAATAATAAACACATTAAATAAATAAGTATACTCTTAACAACTGGTGATTTGAATTGTCATCTGTGAAGTGGTCATTTTGAAAAACAAGTTTTTGAGATCGGTATGTTTGGATTATCAAATTATTCCAAATAATATTTCACTTGCATCATAAAATATATTTTTCAATTCACCTCGTTATATTCCTAACTACTTTTTATCTCACATATATCACACCACAAAAAGTGCTATAGTAATTATTCCAAATAATACTCTATCCAAATAATATTTCAAATAACAGTAATGTTTCAAATAATATTTCAAATGTTACAGTAATGCATAAAACTTCAACAACATCAAAAATACCAAAAACACAAAATCTAATCTCAAAAACATCAAAAATAACCTAAAAAATAAACTCATCTACGGTAAAAGTTTTTCACTTACATTACTACAGTAAAATATTCTAAGAACACCCCAAAAAATAGCTAATTCAAATGGAGCCGAAGTGCTGATTTGAATTGTCATAAGAAAAGTGAAGCGAACAGGGGAAATTTCTTTCTTTTTACTTGCCCTTTTTCAGACTCAAGAGATCGTTGGTCAGCGTAGTTGTTATTAGTAATTGAAAACCATGCTTTTAGTTTGACTATGGGAAAAGTTTGATTACCTGCCATAATTTTTATCAATTAATCTTTATGACTGTGCTGCATATTGTGACTTCAACAACTCAGATAAGCGTGCTAAATGGCTTAAAAAAGAATAAAGGAACAGATTCTTTGGATTCTGGGAATCTGAATTGAGTGGAGAAAGCATCATACCTTCTTGAGACAAATGGAACCACTCCAAAAGTAAGACCACACGCTGCTTGACAGAAAATAGAGAACACAAGCATCACTGCTACGGATGCGCCTAGAGATCCCACCTTCCCCAGCAACACACAAAGCAGACCTCCGATTGTCTGCACCATCCACAGGGTCCATAGCCTACCCCTCATTCCAAACCTCTTGGCAACTGCATCCGACAAGATTCCCCCACCAGGCCTGGAAAATATATTGGCTAGTCCAAAACTGGCAGCAATCATTCCCGCAGTGCGGAGATTCACATTGAATCTGTCATAGAAATACTGTGCGATTATGTTATCAACAGTTAATTCAACTCCGAAACAGTAGCCATAAGTCAATGCCAGAATCCACCCTCTGTAATTCGTGACCGCATGATAGAGAACCTGTGGGAAATTATCTTTATGCCTTTCCCCTGATTTATGCAATTTTGAGTAATTCCCATCGGGCATGTCTTGGCCTAGAAAGAAAATAGCATATGCTGATAATGTTTGGAAAAGGGCTGGAATAAAGAATGCAATTCTCCAAGCTGTAAACTTTGTTGCACCAATATCTCTGATGACTGAAAACACGAGGGGCATGATCAGTTGGGTCGCGCCACCTCCAAGATTCCCCCATCCTCCTGCTAGGCCGTTAGCAGTTCCCACGACTCTAGCAGTGAACATGGAGCTCATCCAGAATTGAGTTGAAACAAAAGTGGCCAGAGAAAACCCGGTAAAAAACCGGACAAGGAGGAAAGAAACCGGGGAATTGGAGATGGAACTACAGAAAACTGCGGGTGCAGTGAGGAGGATGAGAGATGATGAGGCGAGACGAGGTCCGAATAAGTCACAAGCTGTTCCCATGGCGACTCGAGCGAATACTGCGCCAGAAACAGCAGCAATTCCAGCATTTCCAATGTCTGTGGAGGTTAGATTAAGGTTGTCACGGATGATAGGTAAGAGGGGTGGGGCAGCGAAAGTGGAGACGAAACAAGAAAAGAAGGAAATCCAGGAGATGTGAAATGCTCGCATGTGAGGTGGCGCAAACGAGTGTACTCGAAATACAGTCGCCTTATGCTCAGAATCCACTGGAAGAGGAAATTTCTGGGTAGAAAGATCATTTGGTTTTTGCTCCACCTCCATTTTTGTGAATTCAAGATTGGTAATTGAGAATAACTATCGCGCTTTTAAGGAAGAGTTGCGAACTAGGAGAGATCTTGGGTAACAGAGCAGACAGTATTAATACGTTGTTTTCGAGGGCCTGTTAGTATTGCTGCAAAGGAAATGGAAAGCCCCGAGGAGCCCTGTCTTGTTGGTTTATGTACAGAACGAGAACTAATGACGTCGCGAGGATATTCCAAAAACGTGAGCCAACTTCCAAGCACCAGCCACCAAGAGGTGAGGTGGATCATTTTTTTAGTTTAATTTGTATCTGTTGTATGGGGAGCTTTGTAGTTTAGTACTGTAATATATATATTTTTTAAATATATATATATATATATATATATATATATATATATATATATATATATATAAAAGAGCCTATCTTATGTTATAAGAATAGAATTCAACGGACTTGTTGTGGCACATCAAATGATTCAAGTAGCAATTCAATTCACAGGGTAAAAATTAATAAAAAAAAAATGTATCAAATCGTTCATTTTTTCTTTTTGGTGATTAATTGGCTTCTTCCGCTAAGCGGTCAGAACTCAATTCCCCGTTCACATTTTTGTTATTGAACAAAGGAACAATATTGAGTTTGTTTGGATAAGAATTTATTTGGATGATTTATTTGATGCAGTTACTGTAGCATTTTTTGTGATGTAATGTATGTGAAATAAAAAAATGATTGGAAATTGTGTGTATGATGCAAGCAAAACAAAATCTGAAATTTTTATTCCAAATTCTTACATTAATATTTAATTGTCTGATTAATCCCCAAATACAGCAAAAAGTGAAGCTCCTCGCAGCATTAGGCAGTGAAATTGGATGGAAAAGTCGCAAGCTGTACCATTTCTATCTGACTTTGTGACACAGAAGTCGTGTTTGAATACTGTAAACAGGAGGCATCCAAATGGGACTTGGAGAATTGAAGTGGGCTTTTGGGTGCAGAAGAAAGCTTCAAGGCGTATGGGGCGATCGCCGAGTCTCACTCATTGCCCCATTCTTTCCAGTTTTGGAAATTGGGTAAGGCGGAGGCGACGTATAGATCCAATCTATTAGTACTTGAAAGACTGACAAATTTTTTAGTTGAATTCAATGCATTGCCGTATGAACTTCTGCTTGGTCGATCCCAATGCCAAGGATGGATGATACGATTGGCAGGTAGGAAGGAAGGAAGGAAAGGGACGCTGCTTTCATTGACTTTGCAGAGCTTAATGCCACTGCATAATTATTCATGGTTCATGTTGCAGGATCCCAATTGAATATCCCGTTGTTGACTGGGCAAGAGATTCCCATTCTTCACATTGAATATTCCAATTTGCTTTTTTTATGTTTTTAAGTGATGAGTTGATGACAACTGTTTCCTTTCCCATCTCTCGACAATTCCCCAACCTAAGCATCGGCCAGTGGCAGTGGGCCACGCTCCCCCTACTGGACAAACTAGAAATTGCAGTTTAAGGCATCACATTCTTTTATTATTATTATTATTATTTTTTACACTGAAAGATTTCATTTTGTTTTACTAAAAGATTAAAGGAAAATGGTCATTTTAGTACTAGAAGTTTTTTGTTTTTACACCGAATAATTTGCAGAAAGTTAACTTACATCCGTATCTGTAAGTAATTTGAGAACAATTCTTATTGAAAACTAAATGGCATACACAATTCACGACTTACTGATTATTACAGTATCAGCCCAATATGTATATATATTTTTTTATTTAGAAGTTTTACTTCACTAGTGAGTTTTTAGTATCGGCAAGCAATTCGTAATTTAATGAGTTGCAGGGCTTAACAGGGTACTCAGTATATTTAAGATTTACTCTTACTAAATATGCATGTAAAATTCTTTGCTAGTTATTATTACTCTTTGCTTCTATTGATGATAAATTAAAAGAAAAAAAATCCTTTGATTTATGCCTCCCAACTGAATGAAAATGCGGGCTCCACCACTGCCACTGACCAAAGAATTCTATCAAGTAACTGATTAACAAAGACGTGTGATTTTTTTTAAAAATTTTTTACCTTTGAATTAATGGTTGAAATTATTGTGTAGATGGCTGGGTTTCCTTTTCTGGTGGGAGGCAAGATTTGAAATTTTGGAAGTTTTGCTTGTTGGAAAATTTTCAAAATTTGTATGATGTACATACATGTAATTAATGTATATTCATTCATGTTTTTTATACATGTATAGTATTGTGAATGTTTCTAAAATATACATTCATTCATGAATATATTCATATACGTGAGAATCCTTGAATGAAATGATATATTCATGTTTTGATCTTAGGATCATGAGATGCATGAATTAAAGTGCATGAATTTGTACACAATACTTTGAATTTATTCATACAAGTATTTAATGAGTTTTTTTTGTTTCTTAAACAATCTTTCCTATATAAAGAGGGCAAGTAGAGAGTGATTTAGTGCAGAAAATCACTTTCCTACTACTGTGTATTCTCTCAAAAGCACTCCTTAATTTAAAAGAGTTTGTCATACTTTGTGCAAGAATTTAAGACAAACAAGCTTCATCTTATCCTAAAGGATATTTGTCCAAGGTTATTGTACGTTATACCAGACAAATAAAGTCTAAAAAAAAGTGATATTCTATCACGATTTAAAACCAATTCTTGTCACAATATTCCCAACAATGCCTCTCTCCCACAATCAAAACTTTAAAGTTTTGGTGGTGATCAACAGATTAAATGGTTGCTGGTGATTTGGTGCAGGGTGTCTAAGTTATTTTTTAGCAACACAAAAGTATCCATTGCATAACGTACTTAGAAACTATCATATGTTGGAAAAAAGAGGGGAAAAAAAAAACTTTTGCCATACTCCCCTTTTATTTAGTTCATTAAAAAGTTCTAAGATTTATCTTTTGAGACATTTAATTTAATTTTAAGCGCAATAAACTGTTCCAAATTACTTATTTGCTAACTAAGCGGCTACCTTGTGCCAAATATTTAAAAAAATGAAAATAAAAATGTGCTATTGACAGACAAGAATAACACATGGAGGTAGTGTGTGATCTTTTTCTCATAAATTATGGAAAAAATATAGTAGAACAACACTTTTCATCAATTACTACAAACCATGTGTCCGAGAGAAGAACGAGATTAGACTAACAAATTATTGTTCTTGTTATTATTATTATTTTGAGAGGACTAACGATAGTAGTCGTATTCATAAAAAGGTTAACAGAAGTAGTACTCATATTCATCGAGGCTCAGCTGGCAAATAATAGGAAGGTTGAGTCACCGCTAACGAGTGTCTGTAACTCAACTCAGAATCGCGTGCCACTTTTACGCAATAATCCGGACTAATTACTCCTTCATTAACTCTCCCGCCATGTTACAAAGGCGTGAATGGGAAGGAAGCATCTGTACTGTATAGCCCACTCTCCTAGTCCTGATGATAACACTCTATATTTATCTTCCACTTTCAGACTTGACGAAAGATTGCGGATCTTCTTGGGCCACGTTTATTCGGAAACTGCGCCTCTTTAATTTTTTTTTTTTGGTCGAAACGGTGCGCCTCTTTCATTGGTTCTGTCCTGTTGCAGTTATTAAGTAGTATTTCTTCTGTCCCATTTTAATAATTTTATTTTTCTTTTTTATGTGTCTTAAATTGTAATCTATTTTTCAATTAAAGAATTTAGATGTCTTTTAATGTTTCTAAAATACCATTATTCAATGTAAGTTGTTATTACTATAAACTACCTTATTTAATATAGATTGTTAGTATTGAATATAAGCCATCCCATTTAATGCATTTAGGTTTTCCAAAACATATATTAATATATGAAAAGCCAACTTTATTTAATATAAGGAAATTTTAGAAAAATAGCAATCTAAATTTATTTTTTTAATAAAATTAACTACTTTTTCTTGAACCGTGTGAAAAAAAAAATTAGAAAGACAGAGGGAGTGGATAATTTGACGTATTATAAATTTTTACAGGTGATGAATTTCCTCGTCCATCACATATGTTTGTTAGTTGTAACTTGTAACGATAGCGCCTTACACTAACAAGTACTATTTCGAATGCCAGTCCACCTCAAAGGCTCCAACAAAGGTTCTCTGTTGGTTAGACTTTTATCCTTTGGAAACGGGAAATATTAGCGATAAAACACGATTGTAGCCTTGAGATACTAACAATAAAAGCTTTGCTGGCTATACTAATGGACAACCACAGGTCACGGGAGCCAACACTGGATGACATTTATTATTTATTCCGCAATATTTCCTGGAAAATGATCCCTTCGTCTTCAGGTCACTCTGTGCTGCAGGGGCCTAGTTCTAGAGCCAAAGAGATCAGATTGTTCGAGCAAGAGAAAGAGAAAAATTAGAAACAAAACAATAATAAATCATATATATATATATATATATATACATATATATATCAACCAATTAAAGATGGCGAATTACAACTCTTTCTCGTTGCTCTCGCTAGCCATTGTCACCCTGCTTCTCGCCAGCCAAAACGCCGACGCACTTTTTCCCGTCAACCAATTTTGCAAAACTGCAACTTACAAGATTCTCTGCACTAGAATGGTGCACGGTGCAACAAATCTGCAAGATGCATCTGCCAGCGCCATCAGGGTAGCAATTCATGTTGCAAACAAAATTCGAGCCCTGACCCCTGTGGTTGTACAAGCAGCTTCCGATCTCGACCCGACCATGAAAAGCCAAATCGTGGATACATGCAAAGAGAGTTTCGAGAATACCATCGAAGACCTGAATCTCAGCCTTGATTTGCTCCGACAAGGAGATATGGGCGGAGTCGGTACTCGTCTGAGCGCAGCTTTCGACAGCGATTGCTTGGACGCATTGAAAGAGCAAGGTGTGGCCGTCCCATCTTTAGTCAGGATTTATTCAAAGTTCGAAAAAGTCATGGACAACTCCCTGGCTGTGGCGTTTCAATCTTGATCGACTGCTGTTCCATTTGGAAAAGGAGAAGCCGTGGTCCCTGCAATCACGCTTTTTAAGCGCATAAATCAAGCACATGGAATTCTCTTTTTATTATTGATGTAAAACGTAGATACGGACGTTGTTTGGTTTTGTTTTCTTTTTTTCTTATTGATTAAGGGCTGATGTCTGTTCAAGAGAAGGTCCTTTTCTCTTCATACGTCTAATTACTTAACATTCAGCCTGATAATAAGGGCGTATTGATTGTCAGGAACTTTTGTACCTTCTAG